CATAGAATAAAATCACTAAACTGTCTCAGATTGTATCGTTCAACGACCACATGAATCTCTCAAGTTTCAAAGCTCGTGTTCTGCATTTGGCTCCACAGACCTCAGAGTGAACATCTACGTACCGAAATGTGTAACAAACACCACACAGGGAACACACACAACCTCATGAGGCTGATTAGGATTCTTTACGCAGAGATTCAAAGATGTTTTATTGTCAGTTACACACGAGCTGTGTATTGAAATTATTGTGCTTGCCTTTTCTGGAAAGCCGACCAATTTTAAAATAAAAATAAAAATACAATATTTACATAAATGTACATGGAATAAAAATAAAAATAAGGCAGAAATGAGGTAAGGGGAAAAGTGTAAACTGAGCAGGTTGTAAAAAAAAACTTATATTAAATGAAATGTGTGCAATATAAATATAAAACAGTACAGTAACAGTAAGTGAAGTCCTAACAAGCTAAAGTGCAGAGCAGTTGTGAGTTAGCTGTTTTTTATCTTGATGGATCAGGTTAAATTCTGATCTGATCAATGCATTTCATCTTTTTACAGGTTAATTATATTTAATAAACTAAACAAATATTATTAACTGTAAATATCTTGTGTTATCGATGAAGTCATTCTCTCCTTACCTTGGACGTCTTGAGTCCTGTGATCTGAATCTCTTCAACAAGTAAACTCCTCAGTCAGTGAAGTTCATCAGAACTCATTTACAAAGTTAAGAATAAAATAAAACTCCCAAACGAGGCGTCGGTTCGTTCTTCTCTCTGTAAAGCTGCGTTCACGTGTCACACCGGTACAGAATTGCAGGATTTACTGTGAGTCACTTTCATTTCACACATTCCTAGCGCAGACTCCTAATCACCGGGTGCCCGCGGGACCAATCAGAGCGCAGGGACCGGTATAAACAAACCACAGTAGGCTCCTCCCCCCCTCACCCTGCTACAGATCCCCGGCTGTCGGAGCCGCGTAGCTCCCTAACACAGAGCGGCGTGATCGCCCGAGCTGTCTCCTTCACGGCGACGTCAGTAACCGGTTCGAGTGGGACTGGCCGGTCGTACCGGAGGATCTCGGCCGCCGTTATCAGTCCAACTAGCTGCTGTTTTGCCTTCACGCCTTCTGCCTCCCTCGGTTTGCGTACATGTGTTTTTTGGACTGCGTTGCCTCAATTGTTTTGGGCCGGACCGCCTGCACCGTTGTGCTCGGACGGCTTTACCCGGATGAACAATTTTAGCGTGACGTTCGATCTTCTCCTTCCCCTTGACTTATTGGGTCGACGGAGTTATCATCTTGTTTTCTTTATTGTTTAGTTTGTTCTGTACTTTTGTTTCTTTATAACCGGGTGAGTGACCCCGGTTGTATGTACGCGTGTTTAACGTTTTGTTGGTGGTGGTGTGGTGTCCCGGTGGTGGTGTCCCGGTGGTGGTGTCCCGGTGGTGGTGTCCCTTCGCTCGTTTGCTGTGGTCTTTAGTTTTCATTTGCTTTGCTGTGCTCACTATTTTGTTTTTGTGTTCACGGGTGTCTTCTCTTGAAACCTCCCCCGCTGCCCTCGTGTCCCTCCACAACCACCGGTAAGCCTCCGCGTTCATTATTTTGTTCATTATTTTGACCATTATTACCCCCATTAATTCCCCTTTTGTTGTGGAGATTGTGAGCGTGTTTTAAATTGTTTTATGGATCCTGGTATTTTATTGTAATAAACAATGTACATTGAACCACGTCTTTGGCATCTTTTGTGATACTTACCTGCGTGACCTTATTAGTTAGTATTCTCTGGGTGAAACTCCCAGGGTGGCGTTGCTGCTCCCTGTTCTGCCACAAGGTGGCACTGTAGTTGAAGCTATGATGTAATCTCGTGCTGCCACACTGAGAATACACCGGTACAGAAGTGCAGCAGACCGGCTGTGACTCCCTATTCATTGGTTTGCGCGCTTGTAACGGGCATCGTCATAGACATAATCTACATAGACGCCGCATTGGCCGCTGCCGCCTAGTGGCACTGACGAGAATTGCAGCCGCCATCTTGGAACGGTCCTCCTCAGTGTGATCTGTTTGCAGGTGCAATCAGCTGTGAGCGCCTTCAATTAATCATCCCTCACTGAACACCCAGCTGATTTTCACGTGTGTTGGATGCAGCTATGCATGGACACCCATTGGTCCCTAAGCTGCTAGATATGTCCCATCATGCCTCATAACGTCTGTCCTTCACGTGTCCTCATTGTTTATTCACAGCGTAAACTGGAGGACACGCACACGTCATCCCTCATGTGGTGGATTAAAGGAGTTTTAAAGATGATGCAAGAGACTCTTTAATTTCTTTACGTAACTTAAGGAAAATAATTTCTCGTAAAAGCAGAATATTAAATGGTAGATCACGAAGGTCGGTCTCTGTTCTTCTGAGACCAGGAGAGACACGCGTGCTGAAAGCAGTGGCCAGACAGGGACACGCTGTGGACACGCAGGTGATCAGGTGAGAAATTTGAATGTGAGACAACACTAGAAAGTAACACTGCGGTCAACTCAGCAGACGCTTGAATGTTAGTGCACGTATGTGCTGACATTTACAGTATTAACCACGTGAACAGGAATGAAGGCTGTTTAAACAGCATATTCCTGACATTGGTAGAAGTATGTGTGTACAGGACCTCTGACCAATCGTGGACAATGAAATATTTGTACAGTACAAATGGAGATTTCTCCAAAGTAAAAGCCCTAGTAGTCTGACAGGTCCTTCACACAAGTACACTGGTCTTTGTGTGGAATTATTGGAAAGAATGTTTTTTATTGGAAAAATATTGTTTTTAATACAAATAAGGCTTTTACTTTGAAGAAATCTGTACAGTAAAAATACTTCATATTCAGCCTTCTCGTAGTCAGAGGTCCTTCACACAGGTACACTGGTCTTTGTCTGGACGCTGACAGTTCTCTTTACTTTACTGCTTCTCAGAGGTAAATGTTTAAATGTTTACTGCACCACACATCTCAACCAGTTCTGTCCTGGAGTTTTGCAGGAAGCTTAAGTACTTTTTGCCAAGATTGATTTTGAAACATGACGCCGTGTTTGTCCTCTCAGTTTGACCCATAAGAGCTGATCTATGAACGAGAGAGTTGTGTTCCTGTCCATCCTGCCATTCCTTAATCATTTCCCTGGTGAAAAAAGCTTTCTTTATATTATTGTTGATGGTTTTAATCGATATGTGAATCATTGAATTAATACGACAAATGAAGACGCTGATTTCGTAGTGATTAAAAAGGTAATGCTTTATTCCATACACAAAGTATTCCAAAAAAATCACGTAACAGTGTATTTTTTTGTACAAGTATGATGTGGTAATTATTAGTGAAGATGAAAGAATTGAACCTGATTAATCGCATGACTGTTCTGTGATTAACAGCATTTAATTGTATTAATTGTGCGAAGTTTTTGTTTTATTTGTGACGGCCACACATATTTTTTTCATGTGTTTTGTTGTCATTGACAAAAAATATAGTTTCAAGTGAACAGTGTATTTTATAGAAATATAATAACTTGTGTAAAGACCTGTAATGGGTTTATAGAGAATGTGCACTCCAGCCTTTAGCCAGCAGGGGGCAGCGTGAGGCTCTATTTCTCTTCATACAGGCTTTACGACAGTGAAATGATTTACGACCACAACGTGGTGACGTTTCTCATTCTGCGGAGCGAGGCGCAATGACCAGACGTACAGTGACGTCACCAGAAATCAACAGACACTCTGAGCAAAATCAAGTTAACATACAGAATATTAATCTGTTTCCTTTCTTTATGAACAGGAACCAGATGAAACATTAGTCTTTGATGACGAGCAGCATGATGCTTAATGCAGAATATGTTCAGTAGTCAGAGTCTCTGTTAGAGGAGCTGAAGGTCTAGAACAAAAAAACACTTCAGTCTGTAAAGATTGTGGATTTCCTTTGAATCTCAGTCAGATAAAAAAAATACACTTTAAGTGATGCTGGTTGAGAAGTTTCACAATGACACAACTTCATCCTTAGAAGATCATGTAGCAGCATTAACAACCTCTTCAGTGATCACATTATGAAATAAAAGAGTGTTCACTGTATAGACAGAATGCTGAGAAGTGTGTGTACCTTGTATGCTGTGTGTATTTAATCTGCTTCTCTCTTAACATTTACCTTCATGTGACACGTTTGTATTATTGAGGATGGATTTGATCACTATGTGACTTATTGAATTAATACGAAAAATGAAGAGACTGATTTGGGTTTTTAAGATGCTTTTTTCATTTTAAACATACACACACATATACATACATATTTCTTAATAACCAACATTCCGTGAGTAATTAAAAATATGATGCTAGATTTTGGTAAGCGGTTAATGATATTCATTGTGTTAATTTTTTATTACACGTAAAAGTACAATTTATTGATATAAAAACATATAAATTATATATAAAAAATAAGTAAGTTTGGTAACTGAACTTGAACACAATAAATGGTAAATGTAAAATGACTTGTAAATCGCTTTTCTACACTCCCGACCCCTCAAAGTGCTTTTTATTTACATTTACCATCTAGCTAAAGGTTTTATCCAAAGTGACAATACGTTAATTCAATCAAGAGGGAACATAATTAGAACAAGAATCAGGAAAGTACAAATTCTTTAAGCAATCTATCTACAAGTGCTTCAAAGTTCCATCATGAATAAAGTGCTTTCTGGTCCAGGTGTACGAGGTAGAGGTGTGTTTTACATTCATGTCCTCATTGATCATCTCACACACTGATGAGCAGCTTCCTGCCGTCAGTAACTAATATTCACTCCATTCTCACTCTGTGGTCACAGCTACAGGAGCAATGCTGGGTTAGTGTCTTGCTCAAGGGCTCATCAACACGCAGGTCAGCAGGGATGGAACCGTTGATCCTCTGATTGGACTCTACACCCACAGTCTCCCTGACACTTCATGTCACCATTGACTTTTGTATAATTTCTGTGGTAATCACTAATATTTTTGGTAATGCAGAGATAAAATTAATAAAGAACCAGTAGAGCTGCTGTCAGTCCCAGTACACAGTAGAGAACGATCCATCTCAGTCTGGTGTCACTCGATGTCTCAGGTTCGGGTCGATCCTTCACTGCTGCAAAGAGACACAACAAATCTGTTTATTAAAGTAAAGAAAAAGGTTTATTTATCTGAAATAGAAAATGCATTTCCTGCTGAAAATGCATTGGAGTGCAAAAAGCTGAAAGCTGAAATAAACTTCAGAAAATTGCTGAAATTACAGATAGTTGAAGAGAATTTTAATACATTTGCTGAAATAATTTGAAATAGCTGAAAATACAGAAATGGGAGAAGCTGAAAGGAATTTCAATAGATTTGCTGAAAAAGCAGAAATGAAAACAGCTGAAATGAATTTGAAAAATTGCAAAAAATACAGAAATGAATATTAAAACATTGTTGTTAATACAGGCATAAGAAAGCTGAAATTATTTTTAAGAACTGGAAATACAGAAATGAGAGAAGCTGCCGCAGTCCGTGCCACAAAGGCAAGCAAAGACAGCCTAGCTAGCTATCTAACGAGATGAGAGATTTTCTCTGGCCACTTGTCAGCCGTTTGGTTCTGTTATGGACGGTGCCATGAAACCACACCTCAAGCAAGTGTCCTCTAGCACGAAAGAAGAACAATACTTGGAATTCTTAATGCATTCCAACAATAAAGCTGCTGAGTTAAACGTGTTAGTAAGTTTAACTTAATGAACCTACCAGTGACATTGAGGTGACATTCCTTAAAGTTCTTCCCATAACTTGTGAGCACTTGACACCAGTACAGCCCCGAGTCATTAGTCTGGAGTCTGGAGATGTGAAGTCTGAGTCGTCCTTCTCTGAGGACGTCTTTGTCCCAATGGACGCGTCCTGTAAAGCGTTTATCCTGAAACTCTGGGACCTCGACACCTTCATACAGATGAAACACGACTACGGGTATCTTATCAGCTAACATCTCACAGGAGACATAAAGGGCGTTGGGGGAGGGGTCCGTGCTGGTGGGGAACATCCATTCCAGTGAGATGTTGTGGTTCTCCTCTGCATGATACCAGCTCTGTGTCACATTCACTACAAATGACCCTGCTGAGGAGACAGAGAAGGAGAGGAGGAGGTGACAAAGTGACAGCTTTAACATGGAGCCTTTAGACTCCATCTCCAGATGTTTCTGAGGAGTGTGTGCTGATGCTTCACAGCTGCTTCACAAACACAAAAGTGAACTGACCACAGACACAGGAGGTCAGGATGAAGATCACCAGGATGCTGCAGATCATCTCCTCCCTGTGAGAGGAGACAGAGGAGAAGAGGCTCAAACATCATCACACCAACAATCTACAGTGTGTCTTCACATCCTGATGCTCTTTGTGTTCTTCAACATGCTTGTTACAAACACACAAAGCTTTCATGCTGATGACAACGTCCCGGAGACATTAGACACAACCACTGTGACCTCTGACCTGTTATATGGTAGACTTGTTAATAAGTCACCACGGGTCTTTTCACGTTTGATTTTCTTGTGTCTTTCTGCTGTGACAGTGATGGAGCAGCCATCCTGCTTGTGTTTTTTGTATTGTGTTGTTTTTAGTCATCTCATTTGTTTGAAGTGGTATTCTGCTACATTTAGTGATTATTTACCAAACGTTTAAGACTCATTTGTCAAAACCCGGGATGACTTTGCTGCTATTGTGAGAATTACAGAACGCCCTCGCGCATGCGCGGTCGCCCCTGCTTCTTTTATATGGATTCGTCCCCCGTCGGGTTCGGGGTTACTGTGCAGGGTGATTGAGTTGTTTAAGGACACGCTGCTACTCAACATTAATGTGTGTGTGTGTGTGTGTGTCTGTGTGTGTCCAAACTTTTCTACCTCACGGACCGTTTTCATGTCGGACAATATTTCGCGGACCGGTCGAGAAGGTCCGACGTGGGAACCACTGCACTAAACAATTCAGCTGTTTCTTTCTCGATGGATCAGGTTATTATCCGATTTGACATCAATAAATTTGACATTATTACAGTTTTTAATTATCTTTAATGAACAAGCAATAGTCTAAACATGTTAATATAATCACAACGATACGTCGTGGTCTTCTTACCTTGGACGTCTTGAATCTTGTGAAGCTCTTAAACGAGTAAACTGCTCAGTCAGTGAGTTCCCCTCGAACACATTTACACATTTAAGAATAGAATAACACTTCTGGACAACTGGTCGGTTGTGTTTCTCTCTATGAAGCTACGAACGACTGCGGAGTATAAGCGCATCCTTCCGGAGGAGGAGGAGGAGCTTCTATGTACAGATCTTATTAACAGCACGCAGTCTCATATTTATGATGTTTTAAGGGGGAGGAGGAGACGGTTTGCCGGTGTTACACCCCTACTGGTTTTTCCACCTACTGGTTTCCCTGCGCGTGCTGTTAGAGTTCACTCCACAGCTGCAGATGTGTCCGCCTCAGTTCCCTGATTCGTCACACATTCACAAACATATTGCTGAAAATCTTCAAAACGCATCACAAATCCATTGCAGCGTTTACGATTGTATAAGTGAGCACCACGTCACGGCCACGTATGAAAACATTTACATGAAAAAATGTATTAAAGGAAAGATCGGCACAACCTGGATTCGAACCCTGGGGATCAAAACATCAAAATATTAACCTGGTGGCCGCTCTTAGCAGTGCGCCACGGAGACACACAGCAATTATTTTACCGTCAGTATAATTTATTCATTTCGTTGACGTAGATAAGCATGAAGGAAACCTTTTGGTGTCGTGGATTTAAAACAACTGGTTACCTTGAGCGTGTCTTGGAACGCTTCAGGACATGTGCAACGCTACTTCTTCACGAGGCTGCAGCCTTGCAGCGACACATTTTGATAAAGAAAGGATATTGTTTTCTTACGTCCATCGCGTGACGTAAACCACAGACACGAACAAAACAAAGTTTAGAAAATATATTAAAAGATCGAACCGACCACGTTGCGAACCCATGCAGCAAAATGCAAACGCATCACACGGTTAGTCGCACTGTGCGCTGCGCCACAGGGCAGCACGCAGGATCTGGTCTTAATATATTAGTATATCGTGATTGGCATGGAGGAAACCTTCTGGTGTCGTGGATCTGAAACAACTGGTTACCTTGGGCGTGTCTTGGAACACATCCAAAGAAATGTATCGATTCTTAATGGTCACCCAATTAAAGTTAACAAGCAGCATCCCTATAAAAACCCCATGAGGTCGTACATACGATCTTTCCGAACAAGAGATGGACCCACAAAAAGTGAAGGAATTAAGTGAAACAGATCGTACACTTGCAAAACTTCTATTAGGAATCAAATACCTTATAAAGCTCCCAAAAGGAAATTTTATTAAATAATTGTGTTTTAACAGTCACAATAAATAACTCATTGAACAACAAAATAAAGTAGCTCTAAAGAAAGCATGCTGGACAGCAGAAGTCCTGCTCCAAAGGTGGTTTCCCAGTGCAAACCCAGTGGAACCACAGATGGATGTCACGGAAGACACGCCCAAGGTAACCAGTTGTTTTAGATCGCCTCCACCAGAAGGTTTCCTCCATGTCAATCAGCTTCCATTAATCTATTAAGACCAAATCCTGCGTGCTGCCCCGTGGCGCAGCGAAAAGAGCGAGCAGCAGCGTGATGCGTTTGCATTTTGCTGGAGGGCGGCCTCCAGGTTAATATTTTGATGTTTTGATCCCCAGGGTTCGAATCCAGGTTGTGCCGATCTTTCCTTTAATATATTTTTTCATGTAAATGTTTTCATACGTGGCCGTGATGTGGTGCTCACTTATACAATCGTAAACGCTGCAATGGATTTGTGATGCGTTTTGTAGATTTTCAGCAATATGTTTGTGAATGTGTGACGAATCAGGGAACTGAGGCGGACAACATCTGCAGCTGTGGAGTGAACTCAAACACGCACGCGTAGGGAAACCAGTAGCTGGAAAAACCAGTAGGGGTGTAACACCGGTCGAGAGGTGCACAAAGTTGTGGAGGAAAATACGGGACAAATGTGTCCGCGATGAAAAGCAGCAGTGTGGATGCACGAGGCAATAAAGTCTATGATAAATAAATAAACAAATAAATAAATAGACGTGACTCTCTAGGTCGTCTTCAACAAAACACGTCACTCCGCCTGTTGTTCTGGAGGTGAATCGCTCTGCAACACGCGCAGAACCAGGAAGTGAACCGAGTGCGTCGACGCAACGACGCAGACGCAGAAGCGCGCGCCAGCCAGACGTTTGATGGTGGGAATCAATGTCACCACTTTGCAACCTTGAAGTCTCGTCCTCCCGCATACCTCAGCTGTTCCTCCATCATCAGCATTCCTCCCTGCGCGCACATCTGCAGACCGAGGTCCCTGAACGCACCAGTGAACTACTCATACAGAAGAAGCTGCTGCATCTCACTCCATGAGCCACAGTGCAACGCATCATTGACGAATTTATTTGTAATGGTTTTATGTGAAGAGCTTTGAATTGGCTTGATGTTGAAATGTGCTGCCAATAAATACCTCGCTTTACAAAGGAGCGTCCCTATTTTTCGGGGGGTGGGGGGCAGGTTTGCAATGAGTCTGTTTCCTCAAAGGGGCCCTGACATAAAACGTGTGGGAACTACTGCAGCGGTGCAGATGCAGAGAACCTGGTTGTTATCAGTAGTTAGTAGTGTGATCACGTGACGCCCCCTGGTGGATGGAACAGGTATCGTCTTCTAGTTGAACATCTGCTCCCTGATGGACACCCATTGGTCCCCAAGCTGCTAGACATGTCCCATCATGCCTCATAACGTCGGTCCTTCACATGTCCTCATTGTTTATTCACAGCGTAAACTGACTCCACAGCACTGGAGTACACGCACACGCGTGTTCGCAGGTGTTCTACCACATATTCATGTACTCACAGAGGCCTAAAGTACGGCCCTCCTGACTTAGACGAGGCAACAGGGTGAACGCTGATGATCTCAACTACTGAACAGGAGGACGAGCGTCTGGAACCACAGTCCAACATGTTTCACACTTTACACACTCGCATTTCATAAATCACCTCATCTGGATTTCGCTGCTTGATTCAGTTGATACACACTCTACAGCCTTTTAATTTCAAGGTGGTCCATCGGCCGGGGGCGCAGATGACTGTGGCTGAGTTCCTCTCCCGCTCCTGAAAGGGGGGGAGTAGGCCGGACGGCTCCCCGGCCTACGTCGGGCGGTGGGGGTATGTGGTGGCGGCCGTGGTTTGGCTCGGCTGCAGAGGGGACGGAGAAGGGAGTGGTTCCGGGAACGGTGCCGGGGGGCATAATTGATTGATGATAATCAGTGTGTGTGTGTGTTCTACCTTTAAGTAGGAGAGATCCGGCGACAGCGAGGGAGGCTGGCGAAGGAGCTGGAGCTGATCGCGTGCTGTATGAAAACGGTTCCATAAAGACTGTAAACCAGTACGCTGTATCCTCGTCATTTCCCGTTCCCCCAACAGGACAGCACGTGACAGAAGGGTTCTTTCATTTTTAGGGGAGTTTTTGCTGTGCCGATGGTGGGTTTCGGGACAGAGGATGTCGTATGTGTACAGACTGTAAAACCCTCTGAAGCAAATGTGTAATTTGCGATTTTGGGCTATACAACATAAAATGAATTGAATTGAAATGAAGAGACTGATTTCGTAGTGATTATAAAAGTAATACTTTATTCCATGCACAATATATTCAAAGATAAAAGTAGGATAGTAAATACAAGTAATGTAACAGTGTATTTTT